TGTGTGTGTGTGTGTGTGTGTGTGTAGCATATAATAAAATATGCGCATATATGTATGTATAACAATGTTGTTAGTTAAGGTTACAATATTTCTACCGGTTAGAATCGAAGTTAAATTTTGGTATAAAATTATAAACAACTTTTAGCATAGTATGTTCTGTTTAAATGTTTATATGCTATTATTTCTTTAATTATTGAAAATTATATGTAATAATTATTTGGTTAAATCTTACTTTAGGAGTAAAAATCATACACTTTTTCTGTAATCTGGCAAATCTCGATGAATGAAGCCAAATATGCAAGTTTTAATTTAAAAATTCACAATACAAACACAGATATAATAGCTATTAATTTAAATTTTTACCTGAGAACTTCTAGATAATACTTCTTTTCCTTACAGATGAAGTGTACTTTTTTCCGCCATGCTTCCCGCTTAAAAATCGATCGTGAGAAATATCGATTATTTCGAGAATCGTAGGAAGTGTATTGCGTATTTCACTGTTGGCGCTGTGATTTTAATTTAAACTTAATTTAAACTCATTTCGCATGAAATGTTAACTGAGAATAAATAATAAAAAATTCTAATCTAAATAAAATGTACAAAATTCATGAGAAATTCTTAAAAAAGAAAATGTTCATACACTGGATAAAATATTGTTAATACTTTAAACTGTTATAATTTCGTGAAAAAAATTGTAGAAAAATTAATTTTATTTTAAAAAATAAAGTCTCTTAACTTTAACAATCTTAAGTTTGTTTCGTTCAAAGATATTTACTTTTACATCATGTGTAAGAATACTTTTTTTCTTGAAAATTGTAAAAATTCAAACGTCTCGGCGAAGAGAAGTTTTTCCACCACTGAACATTTTTTCCATCGATTAAGTATAATTTATAAATTTTTTCATGCATCTTGTAGGCTAAATGGAATACAGGAAGAATGATAAAAATCTAATTTAGAAGATGCAAACATAAAAGTTGATAAATTAATTTACTTAATTGAACTTGGGTACTGAAAAGCGCCACGTAGCGGTGGAACTGTGTAACTACTGTCGGTATTACTATCCTTTTCGCACTTTATTGCGATCTATGTTTCTTGCATCTTTGTCGTACACTACTGTTTTCCTTGTTTTTCGTACAGCGCGTTCAAAGCTTAATAAAGGAAAGAAAATATAATTACATTTCAGTTTGTCGTATATTTATTCATTTCAAACATGGTATATATGTAGTCATTGGTTTATTTAAAACTGTTTTCATATTTATAAATATATCTTGCGATAAAATTATTTTATACTCGCGCATTGCATAGTTCCACTTTAGATGGAAGTTTACAGCTGTATTATTACATATTTATTTAATGTGGAAAATAGTTAAATGTATTTAATATACGTACAAACTAAGTAAATCGATGCTGTCTATTTAATTGCAAAAAGATATTATTTTGCTGCATCTTTTACGATTTGAAATATTGGCTAACCTATAAATATCCAAGTTTTTGCCTATAAATATCCAGTTTACTTTTTTTTTAATTTAATTCTTTGTATATAAACAATATTGTATCAAATAAAGTGCATACGTATTACATTGATTTTTTTAATTTTCGTATACAGGCTGTCACATATATCAAAAATATACAGTAATTACCGAAAGTTTTCTCACATGATATAAAGAAAGCATTTATATTGGACATTAATATCTAATAATGTGAATGTATACATCTTAAAGAAATATATACTTTTGAAATATAATTCAATATGTTGGTATAATTGAAAATAATGGAAAAAAAACTAAGCAAGAAGAGCCATCGTAAACAAAAAAGAGCACATCACAGGCTTCTTAGAGATATGGATATTAAATGCTGTGATAAACCTACACAGGTTAATATTTATTTATGTAATTCATTTATAACATTTTCTCACTTTACTTTATTGCAGTATGTAATGATTTGTAATGCTGGATTAGTGACTGGATTGCAAAGGAAGACATTACAAGATGTAATAGATCCATTTGTTAACAAATATGATTTAATAATGCCATTAAGTAAATCATATTGCTTTATTAAATTTTATTTAGTAGAAGATGCTACATATATACATAATAAAATTCATGGCAACATTAATATAAATGGACAAAATACACCATTGTACGCAACCTTTACAGAATCAGGTATATAATATATCTTGAAATCAACACAAAATATATGGCATTTTCTTATGACATTAATTAAAATATGTACTCACATGTACATGTAAAATGTTGATATAATTTTGTTTTAGTTCCTGACTTAAATTGTTATGAATGGAGTTCAAATTTTCCTCCTGGACTTAAATTAATAGAGAATTTTATAACGAAAGAAGAAGAAAATATGCTATTAAGCACAATTAATTGGTGTAATGAAGGTAGTAAAAATTTGTTTACTTTTATAAAAATATATTATAGACTATCGAATTACATAAATTTACTTTTATAAAAATATATTATAGACTATCGAATTACATAAATTCAACCAATATAAATTTCTTTTTCATTCAATTTTTAGAATCATCCGACTTAAAGCATAGAAAAGTTAAACATTTTGGATATGAATTTCAATACAATTCAAATAGAGTAGATACAGATAAGCCTGTTACACCCATACCTAAAAATTATCAATTTTTAAAAACACTATTCAAAAAATATCATGATGTTCCATATGAATATGATCAATTAACAATTAATCATTATTTACCTGGTCAAGGTATATTTCATAAAAATTATCCTGTAATAATTAATCTTTTTTTATAAATATAATAACAATATTCTCAAATTTTAAGGTATTCCTCCACATATTGATACACATAGTGCATTTAAAGATAGCATATTATCATTATCATTAGGATCCCCATGTATAATGGATTTTAAACGAGAAAATGAAAAGGTTGCTGTTCTTTTACCTCCACGTTCATTGTTAATTATGTCAGGAGAAGCTCGTTATGCATGGTCACATGGAATTTGTCCCAGACATAATGACACAGTAAAAACTTCAAGTGGAGTGACTACCCAGCCACGGAGAACAAGAGTATCCTTTACATTTCGAAAAGTACACAAGGGTGATTGTTGTTGCAATTTTTCGGACTATTGTGATACGAAACAAAATAACGCTATAACTCTTATTGATAGTAAAATAGCTCTAGGAATAGAAAATTCTTATGTACATGATGTATGTATTGCGAAAAACTTTTTAAACATGATTTTATTTACATTTAGTAAGTTATAAATTTGTAATTTATTTTTATGCAGGTTTACGATAAAATCTCAAATCATTTTGATGAAACAAGGCATAAACAATGGCCCAATGTAACAAAATTCCTTGAAACTTTAGATATAGGTGATATCTTATTAGATGTAGGATGTGGAAATGGCAAATATCTTTATCAAAAGACATATATATTTAAGGTACACATTCATCCTTCAATTTTTGCTAATAATAAATGTATCATAAAAATAAACTTTTAATGATATAGGTTGGCTGTGACAGAAGTTACAATTTAATGAAAATATGTCAGAATAAAGGTTTTGAAGTATCCCTATCTGACTGTTTACATTTACCCTATAAGGATAATATTCTGGATGCAATAATATGCATAGCTGTAATTCATCATCTCTCGACCAGTGAACGAAGGAAACAAGCAATTTCTGAATTAGCAAGAGTTCTTAGACCAAATGGAAAATGTTTAATTTATGTATGGGCAAAAGAACAAGAAAAGGATTCTATGCAGACAGCTTATTTGCGATATAATTTAACCAAAAAGGAAGATGATAGTTCATGTACACAAAAGTTAACAGAATATGGTGTTACATTACCTGTACACGAAAACCGTACAAAATTTACCTGCAAGGATATGCTTGTTCCATGGAAAAAAAAAGGCGGAGGCAACTTTCTTAGATATTATCACGTATTTGAAGAAAATGAATTATCACAATTATGTTCAGAAATACCAAATCTTGTAATAAAAGAAGTGTATTATGATCAAGGAAATTGGTGTGTAATTTTACACAAAAAAAGTGAAATAAATTGATGAAGTAAATTTTTAATTAAAGTTATGTTAATTATACCTTTTAAATAAAAATTTAGAAATAAAACAAGAATATAAGGATTATAAATGCTTTAAATGATTTTATCTTTATTGGAAAAAGAACAAAATACATGGAATATATGTTCTATACAGGGTTTTAGATATAAATAGTCCCTGATATCTAATTTTATCATTATAAACATGAATAATGCATAGACAAGAAAAGTGCACTGTACAAAGCTCACTCTGCTTGACTTTTACTTGCTATTGTGCTTCAATTGTGTATAACATATTTAATAATAATATAGATTATCATTGTCATTCTATAATAATAATAATAATAATAGTAGTAGTAATATTATTATTATTATTATTATTAGTATCGTACTTTTCATTATCATTTTCGGTATTATTATTACTATTGATATTAATATTATTATTTGTATTAGATATCGTTTGTAAATATATTAGCACACCTTATTCACAAAAAATAATATTCAATTATCAAATAAATGTAAAACAGTTGTTCTCAAATATTATTTTCAAAAATTGTAACCAAATTTTATAGCATTTAATTTTTTTTCAGATTCGTTAATGTCAACAGTGTACATAATATATACAACGATTGACAATACTAAACTATTAGTAAAATTGTTATATTTTTTTAATTGGCGAGTGCTTGATGTAGGGCAAAGTACACTGTCCCTTCTTTCTTAATAGATTCAAAAACTTACACAGGTCCAACTTCTTCCGGATCGTAGTTTTTTACTCTTTTATTATATGCAATAATTTCCTGAATAATTAAAAATTAAAATATAAAAATTTTATTTTAAAAATAATTAAAAATATTGAACAAGAGAGTTATTTACTCTTTCATATCTGGCTCTATCTTCTTCTGCTATTGCCATATATTTTGATTTAGTTTGAAGATCTGTGCTCATCCATAATTTGCCCAGCTCTTTAGCGATATCACCAACTCCCATTTCTGGATGCAATTCTCTCATTTTTCCACGTAATTCTTGACAAAAATAGAAAAAGGCAGACCTAAAATGACACTTGTAAACAAAACATCAAGTATCAAGCAATATTAGAAACACATACAATGCCCTTTTAGGTGCATCTTTATCTCTGTATCGTTTGGTTCCTCTACGTGTTGGTCTCTCTGTTTCTTCGTGGCCTGTGTAATGTCTATCATAATAATACATTTTTTTATTGCAATGCGCTCCATCTTCAAGATGAACAATCTAAAAAATACAATATGATTTCATTAATATATATATTCTTATTGCATGAACCATTAAATGAACTTACCTCGTTCTTCACGGGAACTGCATTAATTATAAAATTCTTACTTTGAGTATTTGACCACTTTGCTTGATTGTTTGAAACACTAGACACATTTCCAGGTTTCATTACAGGTTCACCGCATTCTAAGAAATCAAAGAAAATGGCATATAAAAATTCATAATTTAATTATACACCCGTGGATTATTTCTAACAACTTTGAAATTTTTAATCAAATTTGTATTTTACATAAGTAAATTTTTAATAAAAATTTTAGCAGTACCTGGTGTCATATTTGTTTGGCCAACAATCATTGTATCTCTCATTCCAGAATTTAAAGAATTATCACCCGTTTTCGTAAGATAAACATTTTTTCTGTCATTTGATTCCATAATTGTATAAAATTGTTTACAACTTGACCAAGAAATGTATGATTTATCCAAAACCACAATAATCTAAATAGTATCATTGATTTGTTATTTTTTAGTTGTTGTTTATATATAAAAATGAAATTTAATAAAGGAATATATTAAAATATAAGATTTTATATTATATTATATTATATTATATTATATTATATTAAAATATAAGATTTTACAAATCAATTATAATTACATTTATGGCAAAGAAAATCTGTAATTCTTATATCAACCTTCTTTTATATTACACAGAATGTAAACATTCAAATATTTTGTAATAATAACTACGTATAAAATATTACTTACCACAAATATAATTTATAGAAAGCACATAAATTGTTGTCATGACCTTAATAAAACAGCATCATAGATATTTGTTTGAAATTCTGTTGAAACGAGAATATACAAAATTGTTAAATTACTATAATTATGTAAATACTATAAATTATGTAATAAATATAATATACTATATGTCCTTTTACTTTCTAATAAATTAATTACTGATAAAAAGAAAATTTGATTCTAATTTGTTACATCGATTACATGTTACACATAATTTACATCGAATCTTACAACTTGAAGGAATTTTCATTGTGTGAAGAGGGCGCGTTTAAGCTTTATATATATTACGAGCTATTATTTAAAATGCACATTTCACGCGATTAAACGACACTTTACATAAGTCCATGTTCGTACAGGAATTAGAAAAATCCTACGAAATTGTACGAACATCGAACTCTTTCGTTATGAATGTAAACTGAAAAAAGACACGCATACATCGGGCACATTCTCAGAGAAATGAAACATTGAAAAATATGAAAAATCGCAAAAAAAAAAAAAAATATGGCTGAATGAGAAAAAAGCGGAAAAATAACGAATGTTCAAACGCATTAAAGATACAACAGCGATGAAAGAGGCATAATGTAACAGATATTTACCTACAGATGACGTACAAAGGCAATCGCTGCTACAACAACACACGATATAAAAGCTACATCTCACGATGTAAATTACAATTCTAATGAACGAGAGAGCAACGAACAGAACAAAATTAGACGCACGACGTAGACAGTAATCAAAACTTACCAATGATAGCTGAAAGCAAACGTTGCAAAAAGATTTAGGGAGGGTAATTATAAGCAACGCGGGGCGCAACTTATTAAGCATCCATTCCACAGATCGACCCTATCTATACGTATCACGCGTACCACGATCAACGTTATACACGAAGCGTTATACGATATTTAAATGCAACTTCCGTACAAACACGCGATATTGAAGCACCTCGAAAACTCGGGATACCCACAGACACAATATTCGTCAGTTATTGAACCATAGAGCTTGGATTATCGACGGCAAGACTGAACGTTAAAAAACAGATCGTATAAACCAAGCTGATTGAAGCAGATATGACCGGGCATGGCCACTTGTGTGCGCTGTGTATACACATATATAATACGCGCGAGCGCCTACACTAAACATCAATTTTTTAATATCATTTATTTTTGCAATATTTTTCAACCTGTCGTTTTATTAGCAAGCGTTTCGTTCCTTCGTTTCGATCTTTGTGTTCGAAGCTACGTTAAAATATCAAAAGAATCGAGAGATGAACAATTCTACAATAAAGAAGATATTAAGGGAAGTTCATATGTCAGACAGATGGTATCAAATGTCCATCGATATATGTATATATTTCCTGGCAAAATATTGATTGGAATAAAATTACACATTATAGCAGTAATATACCTTTTTTTCCATATCTTATGTAAATGATAGGAGACGTACTTCACTGTCAATTATACTTTCGTTTATTAAAAATATATAT